TGGATGGATGGATGGATGGATGGATGGATGGATGGATGGATGGATGGATGGATGGATGAAAGGAAGGGTGAGAGGAGGGAAGGAAGGAGAAAAGGAGGGAGGGAGGGAGGAGGGAAGGAGGGACGCAGGAAAGGGAAAGATACTCTGTATAGTAAACTTTCCAATCTAACCGAACCCAAAACTTACAATAACTTCAGTTTCCCAACTGTGAAATTAAACTGCCTCTTTCCATAGCCTTTATCTTTGCCTTATAAAATTTGGTTTAGATAAATTAGACAAAACTTGTGATCTTCTACCACCAAATCCCTACACCAAGCCCCTGGAAACTTCCTTTACGCTACCACATTGTCTACTGCATTTTTCCCAGTTGAACTCATGAAGAGCAGGGCTTGAGTGTAGCAGGTGTCCAGATTCACGCCTCATCGTTTCTCCCACCAATGTCCCCACCAGTCGATGACACCACTACTGTCCTTGGGTTCCAGTCCAAACATCTGAAAGTCACGTTTTACCTCTGTGCCCTTCACTCCACCCACTCCATGTTCAGTAGTGATGGAGCGGGCTTGGGCTCGTGCATCTCTGAAATGACATAAATGATGTCAAAGAGCTTTTTGAAAAAGCAATTGTAAGAACGAATGTCTCCTCTTCCCCTCCATTTCCATGGGATTTTATACAACTGCATGAGCTAAAGTTTTCTACAAAATCCCTCCTCCAGGTTCCCTCTCCTCATCCCTCAGGGCCCCCCAAGGGCAGGATAATTATTTCTTTAGTACCTATTTGCAAGATGATTTTCCAAGGATGGATTTCAAGTTCAATTTCTCAAGCCTGCAAACGTGGCATCTCAAGGAGACCCACCGACCCGACTGCCCCCATCTGCCTACCTGCCGGGGCTGCTCGGTGCCAGCCCTCTCTGCTGCAGCAGCTCCAGCCTCTGCATCCTCCAGTGTCCAGCACAAGGCGCAGTCTCCCCACCTGGACCCCACTGCTGGCCTTTCCATGCTGATTTGGAGCGACATCAAGACACTCGCACAGTGGCCAAGGAGAAGTTGGAGGGAGGTTTCTGAAAGCATCTTCCTTCTCAAACATGCTGAGTAGTTCTGCGGGGCAGAACCAGGTCACTGCACATCCACATGTGACATTATTAAGATTGCTTATAAAATGAATAAATGGTCTCCCATCCGAGTACTAACCAGGCCCAACCTGTAGTCCCGGTTACTTGGGAGGCTGAGGCAGGGGAATTGCTTGAACCTGGGAGGCAGAGGTTGCAGTGAGCCAAGACTGCACCTCTGCACTCCAGCCTGGGCAACAGAGTGAGACTCTGTCTCAAAAAAAAAAAAAAAAAAAAAAAAATTGAATAAACGAACCAAATTATGAGCTTCTCCTAAACCATCAGAAGAAAGGTTCCCAGCTTTCAATGCTAACTTTGCTCCTACTGCAGAAAAGTCAGTCCCAGAAAATATGGAGATGAAACTGTAAATAACACCCTCTAATGTCTGAGAAAATACATTCTGCTCGCTTTGCTAAATCTACCGTGTATCACCTCACAAGCTAGATATACCATCTCAAAATACGTGCTGGTTGATTTTTCTACCCAGAACATTAACTGCATCATTGGTAACAAAAGAATGTAGCATATATATTAATATGAAGGTATATTTTGATAGTATTCTCTGTAATTATTCTAATTCTAATAGAAATATTGCTAAAATTAAGTTTAATATCATTTTGATGGGATTTCCAGCCGGGGGTAGGACAATTCGGCACCTTTATAATTTTTTTGGTAATGGTTTCTCATGTAAGCACAAGTATGCTGCAGCAATTTATTTCCCTCAAATGATAACCAGCACGCCATCAAAAAAAAAACAGCTTAGCATAAAGGTTGCTGATTTATGTTTATGAAATCTATCAACAACACAGCATTCTGATGCTCCTGTGGTCTGCGTCTTCTCCGCCCGCTCTCCTGGCAGGTGATTAAACAGCAAGACTGAGCAGACATTCAGACACAAACGTTCCCTGGGGAACCACAGGGCACGCAGCCCAGTGAGGGGCAGCGAGCCTGTACAGGGGTTCACACATCTATGTCCAAGGCAGGAGGATGGAAACAAGAGGACCCTGTCCCTCCAGGGTCAGAATGAGGACAGGGACACCTTCACACAGCAGGAAGGGGCCGGCTCGAATGTGAAAACATGGGCAGATATTTGCTAACAACACAGGGAATAAGTGGCTTCCTGATAATAGAAACAGAGGCAGGGGGATGCTGAGACCTGACCCCACAGTGGCCCCTGCAGAACGAAGGGAGAGCATGGCGACATGAGGGCCTGGGGAGGCCCAGGGAATGAGGCAGGCCCACGGAGGGCACGTGGCCACGCTGCGCAATTGTAACTGGGCTGCCAAGCTGGCCTCCAAGCATCGTTGAGCACAGGGGCCATGATCAGAGGTGTGTTTCCGCAAGGCCACTGCGGCAGGGTGAGGAGGATAGATGTGGATACGAGTGGGAATGAGATGAGGGAGGGATGAGGGCGGATCAGGCAGTTGCTGCGGTCAAGTCCTGGACAGCGGGAGCAATGGCCAGGGGCCTCTCAGAGCCGACTCTGAAGGTCATTGTGTTCATCTCCTCAGCTGCGGTACAAATTACCCCAAGTCAGGCAGCTTAAAACAACAGAAATGTATTCCCCCGCACTTCTGGAGGGCTTATGTCAAAAATCCAGGTGTCGACAGGGCCGTGCTAGGGCTGGAGGCTCTGGGGGAGAATCCGGAATCTGCTCCCGGTCTCTCTGCCAGCTCCCGGGGGTGCTGGGAGCCCTGGGGCCTTTTGGCTGTGGACGCATGCCTTGGATCTCTGCCTCTGCCGTCTGTGGCCTTCTCGCTGTGTGTGTTCACATCGTCTCCCTCCGCCTGTGCTGTCTCTGGGTCTCTTCTCCTCTTGTAAGGGCAGCATTCATGGGCTTAGGGCCCACCTTAAACCAGTATAACCTCATCTTACCTTGACGACATCTGCAAAGATCCCATTTCCAAATAAGGCCACATTCACAGGTACCACGGGTTAGGCCTTTGACAAGTCTTTGTGGGGGACACAATACCACCCGTAGGAGGCCTGGTGCTTGGCGGGGGGAGGGGGGCTGCAGGAGGCAGGGCACAGCAGGGCTCCAGCCAAGGGCCAGGTTGGCGGGGAAGCTGGTTCGATTCCCTGGAAGGGGCCGAGGGTAGGAGGTACTGTTCCGTGTGGCTTTGGGGCTTCCTGCTGCAGTGGGCTCCCGGCAGAGAGGCCTCCGCCGCCTGCCAAGGTTTTAGTTGCTGCCACTTCTTCCTTATGTTCCTCCAAATCTCCCGCTGCCCCTATCTGAACCTCAGAAGCATGCTAGGGGGGCAGGGGTTCCCCGTCCTCAGCTTCAGGAGGCTAGATCCACTCCTAACTAGGGGAAACTGCTTATTTCCCAGGGGACAGGTTGCCAAAAGGCGTACCCAGAACAGAAAGCTGAACATCTAACCAGTCTCTGCCTCCTGACGCAGACCGATGTCGTGGGAAGACCCGAGAGTCAGGACCCAGGTGTGTGAGAGTCCAGCCCCAGCTCTGCCCTACGGGGCCTATTCCATCTCACTGGGCTCCAGTCTTCTTAACTAGAAAATGAGGGCTTCTGGTGCAAAGTCTCTAAGGAGCTTTTCAGCTTTAAAGCATTCTGAATCCCATTTTCCCGCTGACATTCTAATTTCACAGCAGGCTTATCTCCCTTCCCCCTCAGAAGGGTCTTCAGCTGCAGCAGGGCCTTCCGTTTTAGCTTAAATCGCTCTGACCTCTTTATCAAGCAGTTCATAAACGCCCTTGCGCTAGGAGGGGCGGTCGCAGTGTGGGCCCCAGAGAGGGTCCTCTGAGGACTCTGAAAGCCGCTCCCAAGGTTGGCGCCGAGCACAGGAGGCTCCCTCTGGCTTCCGCAGGCACTGAAGGGGTTTGCCCAGAGACACCCTGCTCAGCACTGCCGAGCTGGAAAACAGGTGGGTGGGGGCAGCCGCCAGGAGGGGCCAGCAAACCAGGCCCTAATCCACGAGCAAATTCCATGTTGACTGCCTCACTTTTATCTGCAGATGGGTGCGTCCTTGTGAGAAACCACAGTATTGTCCCCCACCCATGAAGGGAGGCGTGGACATGATCCCAAGTGCCCTAAGTTAGACGATCCAGCCTCACCGGAGCAGCCACATGGACCTGCCCAGTCCTTTGACCTCAACACCACACACTTCCCACACCTGCTGCAGGAAGGCGAGGCAGGAAGCCATGCGCACAAACCTGAGTGTAACACAGGGGCGCTGCCATCTCGCCCGCTGAAAAGTTGATTTTCTAAACCAGAGGCAGCAGAATGGACCCGCTGGGGAATTCTTGTATGTTGCCTAGCATTTATATTAATATTTGGGGGTATCATTTAATTGATTAGTCATTACTGCATACAAGGTATAAGAGTTGAGAAGTAGAAAATATGTATGTCAAAATTTTAAGGAAAAAAAAACGTCAAGTAGAACTAGCCAGTCTGATATCACTAATCTGGTTCCTGCACACACTTGTCTTATAAAGTGCTAGGAAAATGGATATTTTTCTTTCATATTATGCAATTATGTATGGCATATTGCCTGTCTGGGTAGCTTGAAAATCATTACACTGGTCAAGCTGTCCCACTAGTAAAAGCAGACCACCACTTCATAGGTTAAAAAGACATCTGCAAGCTATTTAATACTAAGCTGCATTCAATTAACCTTCATTTTTGCCTCAAAATAATCCCAACCATTTAATATATAACCCATCACTCCAAAAAGCAATGACTGTACTGTGAAAACATGATTCTTTAGGCATGAGATTTGGTTGTTCACAAATTATTTTCCTTTCATGGCTAGAACCCTAAAATAATATCAGCAACTGGTGGGAGGGAGGGCAGGAAGGGGAGGAGACAGACTCAGAGGACACGTCTGACAAAGAGGCAAAGGAAGCTCCGTGCTGCTGCTGCTGTCCTTGCTGCTGTTCTGCCCGGGCTTCGTTTTACAGGATCAATGTCAGGGTGTCACTGGGTCAACAGCAGAGAGGTCTCTCAGCAGGGACACCCAGGCCAGCAAACACACTGATGCACTGTGCTCCTCTGCTGGCCGGTGATCACTTCAGCTCCTCTGGGGGAAGACTTTCCGGCCTGAGCCATCGCGTTCCAGGGAGTTCCTGAGGACAAAGAGTATCATGGAGTCTCTGAGCACAGCCCCTCGCTCCTCTGCAGGACCTGAATTGTCACTCCACAGCAACCGAGCCGGCACACCCTCAGCACAGCTGCAGGACAGCTCTTCTCCACTCCTCCTATGGCGAGCAGGATGGCATCACCCACGGGGCCTGCCGTACCCATGAGTGGCACCTGGAGAGGGACAAGAGGAGACAAAGCAGTGCCTCCTCCAGGACAGGTGTCGAATGCAGTCAAGATCCCCCGATTGTCAGAGACCAAGGGGTCAAAAGGACCCATGCCCCCAGCACCTTCCCCAGCCTGTGAGCAAGCCGTGGTCCCACGCTTTCCTCCACAGCCATGGAAATGGTACTCTGGGCAGGGAGGGGTTTCTTTAGCCACAGACACCTGGCTCCCCCTTCATCTCGAGGGCAGTATTTCTCTGGTGGGTTGGAAGCGCTCATTACTCACATTGGGAATGGCACTTCTGGGCTGCCCAGCGTGGGGGACGTTGGGAGGGACTGCATTCCTCTCAGTAAAGCGGCAGAGAACACACAAGCTTATGGCAAGTGTTGGACCAAATACCAATGAAAACACCAGACAGGGGAGCTTACAAACACATGTCCAAAGAGTTTCCCTTGCACTCATGGATGGAATTCACCTACTTCCTCTCAACACTGGACTCAGGCAATGCTGCAGAGTCATCCAATTTCATGCAATTCAATGAATACAGTGAGGCCAAGGGGAAAAAGCCCTGTCCTTCCCCTGAGAAGGCTCGCAGACCTCCAGGCAAGCAAAGTGCAATGATGGGCTGCACCGTGCGGCACAGTGGAGCGCAGAGGAAACTCACGGTGCTCCGGCATCAGCAGGGCTGGTAGGGCAGGTGCTCACTGTGAGCCAGGAAGGTGAGCTCATCACCAGGCACAGCAGACACAGGCAGGAGGTGAAGGAGGGTCGATGGGGAGACAAGCCATGAGCCGCACTCCCTGGAGAGCCAAGGGGCTGGCAGGCAGAGGAGGAGGGTGACGGGAGGGTGTGGCTGAAGTCAAGCAGGAGAGCAGCTTTGGGGAATGGAGACCAGGATGGGCTTCCTGGAAGAGAAGTAAGGGAAGTGAGGGAGCCAGTCTGGTGCCCACCAGATCAGAGTTCACTGGGCCGGAGGGAGCTGGGAATAAAGACACAGGAGCCAGCAGTCCCTCTTCCTCCTCCTCCTGCCCTCCCACTGCCACCCACACAAAATCAGCCCTGGGACACTCAGGAAAAGGAGAGTCCTCAAAACAAAGAAAGATACAGAGAAAAGGTAGCAGGAGGTCCCACACGTGTATCTAAATATCAGGGGCAATCCACACGTATCCCCCATCCTGACCTCACATTTACAAATTTAATTCCGCATAGATTGTAAGTCTCACCGTGAAAGGTGAAATACTAAAACTTTAAGAAAATATGGGAGAAGAAATAAAAGCACTAAAACCACAAAAGGAAAAAAAAAAAGATACATTGAACCACATTAAAACAAGAACTATTATTTACCAAAAGGCACCACTGAGAGGGAAAAGTCAGCCCACAGAGAAGGCATTCACAAGACATGCATTTGGCAAAGGACTTGTGCAAATCAACAAGAAAAATCCAATACATCCAGTCAACTTAAAGAAATGGGAAAATGACTTGGACAGATACTACGCAGAAGAGGACAGCCATGCGGCCAGTAAACAGATGAAAACATGGTTGACATCTCCCACAGGGCAATGCCACACCCTGCACATGTGAGAACCACTGACATGACAAAGGCAGCACCCAGCGTGGAAGGGAGTGCAACACAAGCTCTCATCTCTACTGAGAAAGTGTTCACTCATCCATTCCAGAACAGGGTTTGCAGCATCTACTGACGCTGAGAACACATCTCCCTATGGCCCAGCAACCCTGCTCCTAGACATGCACACGACAGCAACCAGTATGTGTGTGCACCCAAAGACATAAATCCACACATCATCACAACAGCGAGATTCATAGTTGCCAAAAACTAGAAACAACCCAGCACCCGCCTATAGTAGAATGGATTCCTAATTGTGGTGTGTTCACACAGTCAAAGCTATACCGCAACAATGAAGATGAACAAGCTTCAACTAGACACAACAAAAGGGGTTCATCTCACATATAATGGTGAGCAAAAAAAGCAGACACACAAGCGCACACAGTGTGGCTCGGTGTATGTGTGATTCAAAACCGTGTTGTTCAGAGGCGGGAGGTGGGTCCTGTCGGAATGGGGGTTAAGGACAGGTAGGAGGCACGAGGGGCTTGCAGGATGTGGGAGGGCTGTTCCTTCCTCTATCCTGTTTGCCTGGATGTGTTTCATTTGTGACGATTCACTGAGCGACGTATTTAGAATCTTCATTTCCCTTCTACCTGTTTGTAGTGGGCTGAATGGGGGCCCCATAAAACATAGGTCTGCAACCTAGTTCCCAGAATCTCTTACGATGAGAGTCAACCCTACCTGATGTGCCAGAAGATGTGATTATGGTGAGGGTCTTGAAAGGAGGAACTTATCCCGGATTATCCACGTGGGCTGGAAACCTAAAATGAGAGCATCCTTGTAAGAGAGAAAAGGCCACACGGCGACACGGAGAAGACCGTGTGAAGATACAGGCAAAGCTTCAAGGGACGTGGCACAAGCCAAGGAGCCCCTGGAGCACCCAGAGCTGGCAGAGGCAGGAAAGATCCTTCCCTGGGGCCTTCAGAGTAAGCACAGCCCCACTGAATTCAGACTTCTGGTTTCCAGAACTATCAGGGTAAATTTTTAAGGCTGGGCCCAGGTGGCTCATGCCTGTAATCCCAGCACTCTGGGAGGCTAAGGCGGGCAGATCACTTGGCTCAGGAGTTTGAGAGAATAAATTTCTGTTGTTTTAAGTGACCATGTCTGTGTTCATTTGTAAAAGCAGCGGCAGGAAACAGATCCACCCTTCTACTTCAATGCAATGAGGAAATTAAACAGTAAAATCGAATTCTGCCTGGGCCCTCTCTAGGCCCAGTAAGTCAGAACAGGCTGGGGAGGGCCTGAGCGTCAGGCAGCTCCCATTCCCGGGTGGTGCCAAGGGTTCCCCAGGCTCAAGAGGCTTCACCAGGAAGGGAGACTCCCTGCCGCCTCAGGCCCCTGAAAAGGCCCTCAGAGATGTGGGGTCAGGGGCAGCAAAGTTTCGGGGACCACTTGGCCGGGTTTCCAGGCCTCACTGAGACCCTTCTGAGGTTTGCAGTCATGAATCGTAAGTGAGCCTCAGCCAGCTGTGTAACTGTCTCCTGCGATGTTCAGACACTCAGGGTAGATGAATGGGTTTAATCAGAGCTGGGATGTTTCCAAGTGAATTCTAAAAGACAGGGAAGAGGGCAAGGGAACTGAGGATGCTCAAATGAAGGAATGACATGAAGAGCCACAGAATCTTAGCTGGGTAAGAAAGGAACTAAGGATGGAGGGAACGCTAGGGAGCAAAAATGTAGTAAGAAGAATGAATGGGAAGCCTCCATGGGGGCTGGAAAGCACCGCAGTGGGGGTTCACCCAGGAGGCGGGGCAGGGGGAGGCAGTCAGAGAGGGAGGCAGAGGCTGGGGGAAGACAGGCTGAGGTTCAGTCTCGGGAGAAGGAGGCAGAGGCTGGAGGGAGAATTGTAGTTCCTATAATTCCCACGTGTCATATGGGAGGGACTCTGTGGGAGGTAATTGAATCATAGCAGCTTCCCCATACTGTTCTCGCAGTAGTGAGTAAGCCACGAGATCTGATGGTTTTATAAATGGGAGTTCCCCGCACAAGCTCTCCTGCCTGCCGCCAAGCAACACGTGACTTTGCTCCTCATTTGCCTTCTGCCATGATTGTGAGGCCTCCTCAGCCATGTGGAACTGTGAGTCCGTTGAACTCTTTCCTTTTATAAATTATCCAGGCTCAGGTATGTCTTTATTAGCACCATGAGAACAGACTAATGCATTGGTTAACGAATAGAAAGTTAGAGCTTGCTGGGAGGAATGTACGCTGTAGTACCTGTTATGAATGTGGTGAATGATAATTTAGTGTGTGTATTTTCAGAAACTCAGAAGAGAGGATCCTGGATGTTCCCAACGCAAAGAAATAATAAATGTTTAAGTTTATGATGTTGAGCAATTACCCTGATTTGTATTTGATATACATTTGCATTTGCAAAGATATACACTTGCATACATGTATCAAAATATTACAATCGTATCCCACAAATATGTACTCATTATTGTTGTGTCAACTAAAAATAAAAGGAAAAATATACACAAATGAAAAGCATCATGGAGAAAAGTCAGTGTCCTGAAAAAAAAAAGAACACTCTTTTATGTTGCAATACTAACATTAACGCAGAAATGTTCCTTAGGCTGCTATGAAGTAACTTCCAGATAATTTGAAGCCAGTGGATAATGTGTTTTAGAGAATGTCAGCATGGGATGTGGCCAAGAACCTGCTCCCTACCTCTTGGGAACAAGATTTGCATGAGCCTCAATGCCAACTCCACCAGTAAGGGCTTTACATGTATCCATGCATCTGATCCTCAAAGCCTTCCCACAAGATAAGTACTATTTATGCCCATTTTAAGCATGAGAAAACTGAGGCACAGGACATGAACTTGCTTGCTCAAGGTTACACTCCTAATAAGTGACTGTCAGTATTTAAGCCAGGTTATGCTAAACATTGCATGTCCCTGGGATATGTCATCGTCATAATCATTGATGAAAGTTTTAAATGTTGCTATAACTTGGAATGATTCTACATTGCATTGTTAATAACTCACGGTTATCATGAATCACTAGGCAAAAAGATGCTATTGTTAGGAGAAAAAAACTTCACCCCTATGGCTTGGGTCCTATGCCTGGGGACCTGCGAATTAACTGAAGATAGATTAACAGGAGAAAAGGCAAGGTTTATTTACATGTGCACGTGGGAGTTGCTCAGCCATGGGTAACTTGCAGAATAATGTGAAGTAAAGGTTTATACATATCTACTTAACAAAAAGGGTGGTTTTTAGGTCTCACAGGAGGGCATGGTTTTTTGTGCTTTGATGCTATTGGGAACAGGCAACTACTGCATGGCAGCTGAATTTGAAGGACTCTTGGAGAAGGTTAACTATACTATATTTTCGGGATGTTCTGCTTTTGGTCAGATAAGGGAATGTTCAGGTGAGATTTCTTCTGCATCTTCTGTAGCTCAAATGTTCACACCTAAGTGTGAGAGTCCAGATCCCCACACCAATGGTCATCTTCTTAGTGGGAACAAGAACAGCACACATAAACTGCATTCAAACTATATTCAGATTAGCTTTAAATAATCTGCATCAGTAATTACTTCCTAGTTACTGTTTGGGAGATTATTTATTTATTTATTTATTTATTTATTTATTTTGAGATGAAGTCTTGCTCTGTTGCCTTAGGCTGGAGGCAGTGGCAGGATCTCAGCTCACTGCAATCTCCGCCTCCCAGGTTCAAGCAATTCTCCTTCCTCGGCCTCTGGAGTAGCTAGATTACAGACATGTGCACCACCACACCTGGCTAATTTTTGTATTTTTAGTAGAGACAGGGTTTCACCATGTTGACCAGGCTGCTCAAAACTCTGGCCTCCGGCGATCCGCCCGCCTTGGCCTCCCAAAGGATTACAGGTGTGAGCCACCGCACCTGGCCAGGAGTTATTTTTTAAATCAAATATTCCCAATACCTTACAACATCTTAGGATATAATACTATTACAGGTAGGACTTGGTCCAGGAGGCCAAATGAGTACTTGTTGAATGAAAAGCGATTAATAATAGGGGAAAATATTGTGCATGGACTGTGCTGGGAACACTAAAGTTGGTTCAGTTAATACTACCAAGCCCCTGCACTGCCCAGGAGCTCGTCTAGGAACTGGGGATGCCAACAGTCCAACATGCTGAAGCTGAGTATTACGGGAGAAAAGAGGGAGAAATAGACATTGAGCAATCAGAAATGAAAAGAGAAATATCAAGCTGTACTAAGTGCAATGTGAGAATCTTTTGACTGATGTCCAGTGAAAGCCTTCTTTGTGGGAAGGGAGCTTTACTAGTAAAGAGCCAGCCCTGTGAAGACTCGGAGCAGAGGGAACAGGAGATGTAAAGACTGTAAGGCAAGAATGAGCTACATACCAGGAAACTGCAAGAAGGCAGTGTGACTGAGAATGGGAGAGGGAGCTGACAAGACGACATCAGAGGCAGGAGCTGCCCCAGGTGCCATCAGAATCCTGGCAGAAGCCAGATCCCATCAGGCTTTATAGCCACAAGGGCAGCAGAATGGATTTATCCCATGGGTAATGAGAGAATCCAGTGTTGGTATTAACTGTTCTGCACGTTGTTGTGTTCCTTGCAGGCCACCTGGTCTGCAGTGGGAGCTCAGGGGAACAGTGGAAGTAGAGAGAATTGCCTTCTCCCAGAGAGAGAGGATGGTTTGTCCCCAGAGCACCATGGTGGAGGTGGAGAGAACAGGCGTGTGTGTGTTCTTTGGAGACACAGATAATAGGACCTGATGAACTTGGGCAAGGGCTGTGGTAAACCGAATCGCTCGCCGTGATGCCATCCCGACTCGACCACATGGCTACCCTGAGGGGAGAATATATGTCCTTGCACCTTCACTTTGGATGTGACCACATGATTTGTTCCCAAGCAATGGGATGCACATAAAGTGACAAAAGGTAGATACAAGCAGAGGCTTTAAAAAGGCATCACTTTGCTTCTGCTGTACTTCCTGACTTCTACCTTGCACCCTGAGGAAAGCATGCCCCAGGTAACTTCTGCCATCCTGGTCCTGGTGATAAGGAAGGGTGACCCAAAGGAGTTCAGCCAAGAGGGAGCAGAGCTAGAATCTGAAGCCAACCTCAGACCTCTGGAGGAGAAACAAACATTTGCAGTTGCAAGCTGCGGAGATGTCTGGACTACTTGCTACTGTGGCAGAAGCTAACTACTACAAGAACACGTCAATTTCTGGCCTAAGCAACAGTGAGGATGATGGTGCAACTTGCTAATTTGAGTTGAAGCAAGTGGGGTGGGAAGGTGGAAATTAAGATTTCATTTTAGAATACACTTAACAAATAGCAACACCACCTATGTTATGAAGGATAAGATATAAGACACAACTTTCACACACTCCTGCATTTGAGAATAATACACTATTTGTATTTGAATTTAATATCCCAACAAACGTTCATGTCCTTTACACTCAACCTGTTCATTGTCAAACATTTTGTTCCCTGAAATCTGTTTAATTCACATTTATTCAAAAAGAAAGTGCATTTGGAGTTAAACTACTTTTTACCCAAGAGGATCTAAACAGCTTTAAAATAGAAATGAGATTATGCCAGGATGAAACCCATTAATGACTCAGCTGAGTGAGGTCATGGGGAGCGAGAGCCTAGGAGCTCTAAGTAGGGAAGAGAGTCCTCATCATCACACCTGGGTCATCGGGAGAAATGAGATCCAGATGGACGGCACATTCTAAAGATTAGCCATGGAAACTTGCCAAAAGCAGAAGGGTTTTTTTCTTTCTTCTTTTCATCAAGATAAAGCCG